CCAATCCGAAAAAGGGCTGGTGGAATTGTTGAAGTGATGTGAGGCCCTGAGTTCAAACCCCAATACTGCCCCCCCCAAAAAAAGGAGAAAAAAAGTTAATACCAATCTTTCATAGACTTTTTGAAATTAGAAATTAGAAGATGAAGGAACATCTCTCAGTTCATTCTGTGAGAGGCCAGTGTACTGTTACCAAAATTAGAGTTATCACAAAAAACTTCAGATTAATATTTCTTATGAATATACACATATCAGTTCTCAACTTAATACTTATAAATTAAATCCAACACTCTATCAAAAGGATTACACACAGTGACCAAGTCAGATTTATTCAACAGTGCAAAGTTGGTTCCACATACAATAATCAGTTAATGAGAGACACCATATTAACATAAAGGAAAAATACATAATTACCTTGGTAGATACAGCAAAAACATTTGGCAAAATCTGATAACCTTTATTAAAACCACTCATCAAACTAGGAATATAAAAGCATCTGTGAAAAATACGCATCTGTTATTATACCAAATGGTGAAAGACCAAGATCCTTCCCTGTAACATCAGAGCAAGGTCAGGATGTCTGTTCTTACCATCTCATCCTTCTACTGGACCTTCTAGCCAGGGAAGCTAGGCAATGACAAGAAGTAAAAGGCATCCAGATTGGAAAAGGAATAAATAAAACCGTATTTACAGATGACATGAATCTTACATGTAGAGGATTCTAAGGAATCCACAAAAACTCTATGAGAATTAAATTTTAAGTTACAGAGTACAAGATCAGTGTACAAAAATTAGTTGTATTTCTGTATACTATAATCAACACCTGAAAAGAAAAATTAAGGAAACAATTGCTGGGCACCAGTGGCTCACACCTGTAATCCTAGCTACTCAGGAGGCAGAGATCAGAAGGATCATGGTTTGAAGAATAGTTCTCGAGACCCTCGACCTTGAAAAAACCCATGACCAAAAAAGGACTGACAGAGTGGCTCAGGTGTAGACCCTGAGTTTCAAACCCCAGTACTACCCCCAAAACACAACAACAACAACAACAACAAAAGACCTTTTTTTTTTTTTTTTTTGGTTTGTTTTATTTGAGACAGGGTCTCTTACTATGTAGACCAGGCTGGCCTTAAACTTGCAGTCCTCCGTCTCTACCTCTCAAGTGCTGGGATCACACCATGCCTGGCCCTATGAAAAACATTTTCATTTATTATTTAATTTTATCATTTTATTACTTTTTTTGGTGGTACTGGATTTAAACTCGGGACGATATGCTTGTTATATAGGTGCTATACCACTTGAGTTGGGCCTCCAGCCCAGCAATTTTTTTTATAATAGTATCGAATAGAATAAAATACTTAAGATAAACTTAACAAAGACTTTCTAGGCATGCGTTCTTAAATCACAAGAACATCATCTAAAAAATTAGAGATGACCTAAATAAGTGGCTGATTATGTATGTTCAAGGATCAGAAGATTCAAGATTGGCAATATTCCTCAAATTTAGGCTACAGAATCAGTGCAATCTGTATTGAAACTTACAACTAGGTTCTTCGCAGAAATGGGGGGGGGGGGGGGGGGGGGGGGGGGGGGGGGGGGGGGGGGGGGGGGGGGGGGGGGGGGGGGGGGGGGGGGGGGGGCTGGGGGGGGGGGGGGGGGGGGGGGGGGGGGGGGGGGGGGGGGGGGGGGGGGGGGGGGGGGGGGGGGGGGGGGGGGGGGGGGGGGGGGGGGGGGGGGGGGGGGGGGGGGGGGGGGGGGGGGGGGGGGGGGGGGGGGGGGGGGGGGGGGGGGGGGGGGAGCGGGGGGGGGGGGGGGGGGGGGGGGGAGGGAGGGGACGGGGGGCGGGGGGGGGGGGGGGGGGGGGGGGGGGGGGGGCGGGGGGGGGGGGGGGGGGGGGGGGGGGGGGGGGGGGGGGGAGGGGGGGGGGGGGGGGGGGGGGGGGGGGGAGGAGGGGGGGAGGGGGGCGGGGGGGGGGGGGGGGGGGGCGGGGGGGGGGAGGGGGGGGGGGGGGGGGGGGGGGGGGGGGGGGGGGGGGGGGGGGGGGGGGGGGGGGGGGGGGGGGGGGGGGGGGGGGGGGGGGGGGGGGGGGGGGGGGGGGGGGGGGGGGGGGGGGGGGGGGGGGGGGGGGCGGGGGGGGGGGGGGGGGGGGGGGGGGGGGGGGGGGGGGGGGGGGGGGGGGGGGGGGGGGGGGGGGGGGGGGGGGGGGGGGGGGGGGGGGGGGGGGGGAGGGGGGGGGGGGGGGGGGGGAGGGGGGGGTGGGGGGGGGGGGGGGGGGGGGGGGGGGGGGGGGGGGGGGGGGGGGGTGGGGGGGGGGGGGGGGGGGGGGGGGGGGGGGGGGGGGGGGGGGGGTGGGGGGGGGGGGGGGGGGGGGGGGGGGGGGGGGGGGGGGGGGGGGGGGGGGGGGGGGGGGGGGGGGGGGGGGGGGGGGGGGGGGGGGGGGGGGGGGGGGGGGGGGGGGGGGGGGGGGGGGGGGGGGGGGGGGGGGGGGGGGGGGGGGGGGGGGGGGGGGGGGGGGGGGGGGGGGGGGGGGGGGGGGGGGGGGGGGGGGGGGGGGGGGGGGGGGGGGGGGGGGGGGGGGGGGGGGGGGGGGGGGGGGGGGGGGGGGGGGGGGGGGGGGGGGGGGGGGGGGGGGGGGGGGGGGGGGGGGGGGGGGGGGGGGGGGGGGGGGGGGGGGGGGGGGGGGGGGGGGGGGGGGGGGGGGGGGGGGGGGGGGGGGGGGGGGGGGGGGAGCAATT